AGGTCCTTCAAAAATTACACTAAATTTATTACTTGTTTCTTTTTTGATTAAAATTAAATCGTCTTTCTCATATTTTGCAGACCTAACATTCTTATCATACACCTGTTTCCTTTTAATTTTATTTGTAATTAAATTATTCCTAGCATCTAAATGAGCTTGTTGTAACCTAAACTTCAATTCTAATGGATAACTATTAAAATTTACAAAGGATCTACGCATGTAGTTAAATGCGTTGGAAGACTACATATCTTACCAAATACTAATTCAAAAGGCGTGTACTGAGTTTCAGTATGAAAAGTTGTATTATAACTGAAACACCAATAAGGTATCCAAAAACTCCAGTTTGTTGCCTGATTATTACACATGGTTCTTAAATATGCATCTAAAACTTTATGTGAATTTTCCAAAGCGCCTATACTCTCATGATGATATGCTGTTGAATGAATTTTATCAATTTTTAGCAAACTGCAAACTTCATTCATTGTACTTGAAATAAATTCAGTTCCTTGATCAATGGCTATTATTTTAGGAACTCCATATCTTAAAATAAAATTTTCGACAAATGCTTTAGCGATAGTTATAGTTTCTTTGTTTTCTAAGGGATAAGCTTCTACATATTTTGTTAGTTCACATTGTAAGGTTAAAATATATGAAAAATTACTTACGTCTCTTTCGATTGGACCTACAATATCTAGATATATTTTTTCAAATGCAGTGCTTGCTGTTGTCGTTACTACCATAGGTTCCTTTATACTGTTACTATATTTCTGTCTTTGGCAACTATCACAATGTTTAACAAAATTACTAATATCCTCTGTCATGCCTTTCCAAAAGTAATATTTTTTAATATCATTTGTCATGCGCTTTACACCCGCATGTCCGCTAGTTGAAAGTAAATGAAAGTCATTTAAAATAACTTTTTTCATATCATCGTCTGTGATTCTTTTAGGATTATTTACAACACATATTCTTGGAAAATCTTTATTATTATTTAATCCTACGGCTTTCTTATATTCATTAATCATCCTAGCTAGCTTTTTGACTTCATGCATATTACTTTCATTTTTAAGAACGATTAATTCTTGCACATTTATTTCCTTGCATAGAATTTCTAAATCTTTCAACAATTCGTCTCGCGCTATCATTGATAAAGAATTTAGATTCATATACAAAGCTGACAAGGAAGGGTTGTACAGAAAATTTTTATTTTTGGACATTGTATGTTCCAATTTAAGCTTTTTGTTTATCTCTGATTCGTTAGTTATTACAAGTTCTACACTGTCTGCTGGCTTTTTAAGAATCTCTACTACACTCGGATGGCCAGTCCTTATATTATCTAAATTCTCTTGCGCCTTGTTTGATTGTAGTTCATTTTGCATCGTTTTCTGGTTTGCTCTAGTCATAACATTAAGTATCTTTTCATTCATGCTTTTTAACTCATCTGATGTAATATTGTTAATAAAAACACGTGACAACGCATCTGCAGCTACATTATCACATCATTTTACACACTCTACTGTAAAATCATATTCCTCTAAACACAACCTAAATTTTGTGAGTCTACTTGATGGATTTGTCATATTGAATAAATAAATTAATGGTCGGTGATCTGTTAAAATTTTGAAATGTTTACCATATAAGTAAGGTCGGAAATGTTTTACTGCCCATACAATGGCGAGTAATTCTTTTTCAATAGTAGAATATCGTACTTCAGCTTTATTTAAACTTCTGCTTGCATAAGCAACTGGTTTTCTATTTTTATTCGATAACACTGCTCCTACTGCAAACCCACTTGCATCCGTTTGAACAATAAATTCATTATTTTCAGAAAAATTTGGATATTGAAGCACGGGTGGTTGTATTAACGATTCTTTCAAAGTTCGAAATGATTCTTCACATTCTTTTGTCGAGTTAAAGTTAACATTTTTCCTACTTAAAATATTTAACGGTATGGCAATTCCAGCAAAGTTTGGTATATATTTCCTATAGTAATTTGCGAAAGCTACTAATCTTTTGACTTCATCGGAATTTTTCGGAACGGGTTACTCTTTTAGCACTTGAATTTTGTTTGGATCGGTTAAAATACCTTCAGAAGTTATGATGTGTCCCAAATATAATATTTCTTTCTTTAAAAATTCGCATTTGTTAGTTGAGCTTTAAATTTACTTTTCGGAGCCTCTCAAAAACTTTAATTAAATTAGAATTGTGATCGTTCAAATTTCTTCCAAAAACTATTAAATCGTCTAAATATACGAAACAACTTTCATAATTTGGGGCTGGCATTGCAACTGTCATTGTACGTGAAAACGAACTAGGACTTGTTTTTAAGCCCATTGGAAGCCTCTTCATCTGAAATTGTCCTTGACTCGTTGTAAATGCTGTGAAGGGTCTACTATCCTTATCTAGTTTTACTCGATAATATCCTTGACTAAGATCTAAATGAGAAAAATATACTGCACCTGAAAGTGAGTCAAAAATATCTGTTATGTTGGGAAGTGGAAATTTATCATCCTGAATTTTCTGATTTAAAGGACGATAGGCGACCACTAATCTCCATTTCTTTTGATTACTTACGCCTACCTTTTTAGGTACTAGGAGAATAGGTGATGACCATTCGCTTTTCGTAGGTTCAATAATATTATTATCACACATTTGACGTATCTACGTGTCAACTTCGGTTTTTTGCGCATGTGGTATTCTATAAGGCTTAACATAAACTGGTTTTATATTTTCTTTCAAAGTTATTGATTGTTCATAAATATTTGTTGTTGACAATTTATCATTTGGTAAATGGAAAATATCTGCATATTTAGCACAAATGTTCATGATAGAATCTCGCTCTTCTTTGTTTAATTTATCAGCATTGATAGTATCTGAAACTTCTTTAACTCTATCGACTGAATTTTGTGTTAAATCAAATTTGCAATACTTATAATCACTTAATTTGTGAGTTTCAGGAATCCATGTTTTTAATCGAATTTCCTCTTCGTTAGTATTTAAAATTTTTACCGGTATTTCTGAGTTTCGAGGTCTCGGTACAACTCCTGCTAAAATCACAATCTTTATTAGTTGTTATTGGTAAATACTGAATTGTTTCGCAACGTGGTGGAATTACTAAAATATTGTGATTCTGGTCTGATTCCAAAGGTACTGTTACTGTACTCTGGCAATTTGACAATGTCATTGTATTTTCCGCGTAATTAATATTTCCTTTGTGTTTTTTAATAAAATTTCTACCAAGAATTCCATCATTTACACAATTCAAATTTTTAAAAACGTAAAATTTTTGTTGAAAAATGTTTCCCTTTATATCTACAGTTAAATATGCAAATCCTTCTGAAAAAATGTTACCTCCTATTCCTCTAATTTTTATTTTATCTTGTTGAATTATAGTGCCATGAGGTAAACAATGTAACTTTATCGCTGACAAACTATAGCTCCAGTATCTACTAAGAACCTTAATTTGTTTTCTTTGACATTAACTTTTATGCAATCTACTCCTGAATATGCATTGATTTGATTAATTTGCTTGGGCACGAAAAAACTGTTCCCGCATATTTTCTTCTACGGTATGATTCACCTGATTACGGAAATTTGAATGTCGACTGTTTGTAGTGCGATTATTTAAATTTTGATTATTTGTATTTCGCCTATTTGGAATCTGATTGTATGTATTTCGACCTCTATATTGATTGTTTCTGAAATGATTACCGCGATTGTTGTTAAAATATCGAGCATTGTTATAATATCCAAAATTTTGTGTTCGGTTTGGACTATTGACGTTAAAGTTACTGTTTGGAATATTATTATGGAACCCCCTGAAATTCCTTTCAAATTCACCACGACTCCTATCCTGATAAAATTTTGATCCTCTGAACCTGTGAATCATTTTCATGCCTTCGAGTAGCATTTTCATCAATGGCAGATCTAATACAGTCTTTTAAACTGGTAAAATTTCGAGCTGTTTGAAATCTCGTAACCCATCTGAAAATTGTTTGATGGCAATTCTTTCGTTCACGAGCTTTAGTACCTTAAATTTATCAATATTATCATCATCTCCATTAGCTTGGGATATTGTTAAATTTACAAAGAGATCTTCAATTTCCTTACCGAAATCGTCTATTGATTTATTACCTTGAATTGTGCGCATTAATTTTGTTTGTAGGGCCGTATCGGATTTCCTAGTTAGAAGATGTATTTTCATGTCTGTAACTAGCGCTTGTACTGAGTTATAAGTACGATTCAGCCTAATTTTTGCGCTTGGAGACAAACGAGTTTTTAAAACAAAATTGATTAAATTTGTTTTATTATTTGTATCCAACATGGTATCGTATAATTCAATGGCATCTAAAAGTTGCAAAGTGACACCTTCTTTACCATTCATTATTGGCAACAGATTGCAAGCTACTTTGAGATCGAAAGCCATTTTGAGAAAATCGGTGCTTTTTTCTTTCACAAAACTTAAAATTTCGTGGTATACCTTATTAACGGCAGCTACGGATTTTTTAAACTGCTCAACTTCTTCCTCAGTATACAAATTCAAATCTTTATCAAAGTGCGTTATAACTGTTTGTAATTGTAAATATACTATTTTGGCTTCCTCTACTTTTCTAACCAAACATTCACCCTTATTGCGCCGGTCACTCCCAATTTTAACTAAATATGTCCTAATACTTTTCAATTCGTCATAAATTTCCTGTACTGCTTAAAATTACATTAGAAATCAAACTTGAAACAAATAGCTGACTCTTAACATTGATCATCCGGGAAATGACTCCTCATTTCTATTGCAAATATAAAATTCAGCAAAATACAATATACCCACTTCGCTTACGGTGGCTTTTCCTGTATCGTGTACATTAATCCCTACTCTAATCATTCACTCTCTCTTTCACACATTACTTATTAATTACTCCACTACAGGGGCATACTTATCAAAACCCGTCACCAATTTTGAATTTCAAAAATACCCTATTAATTAGATACGATTTGATTAAATGATGAATGAATCTTCAGTAATTAATCATTTTATACCTAAAATTTTTGTTTTTGTGAAGGTTTGCTTGTCATAGTTTTAAGGTATGAAATTGAAGACTTACCATTGAAAATGGCAAATTTTAACTCATAGGGTTCATTATAAAAATATAATTTCTCTAAGTTAAATTTGATGGTTTTTCGAAGCTGTATCTTATCGACTGTAATTTAGGGGAGAGGGAAGTTCCCTGGTAATAACTTTCTACCATTTTTTTTTAAATTTCGTTCAAAGTACCAACTGTCTGTTCAAAATTAACAGATGTCTTTACTAGATTAAGAGCCAACAATCTAAAGCTACAACCCAGCAAGTGTCAGTTTCTGCGAAAAGAAATTACTTATTTAGGTCACGTCATTTCCGAAAATGGAATTGGACCAGATCCATCAAAAATAAAAGTTATTGACGGTTATCCAGTGCCTCAAAATGTTAAACAATTAAAATCCTTTTAGGATTGGCTTCATATTATAGAGGATTTATAGAAAACTTTTCTCTAATTGCAAAACCTTTGAATAATCTATTAAAACAAAACGCTAAATTTGAATGGTCATCACTTTGCGACGAAGCTTTTGAAATTTTGAAGTCAAAATTATCATCTCCACCAGTACTCCAGTATCCGGATTTCAACAAAGAACTTGTCTTAACCACTGATGCTAGTCAACACGCGATCGGATCTATTCTTTCTCAGGAGCATTCGGGCAAAGATCTGCTAGTTTCTTATGCAAGCAGAACACTAAACAGAGCAGAGCAATGATACTCTACTATAGAAAGAGAATTACTGAGTATCGTTTGGTCTGTAAAGCATTTTAGGCCGTATCTGTATGGTCGAAGATTTAAAATCATTACCGATCATAAATCTCTAGTGCACTTGTTTTCTGTCAAAAATCCGTCGTCAAGACTAATGCGATTCAGACTCGATTTGGAAGAATATGATTATGTAGTGTCTTATAAACCCGGTAAACAAAATTCTAACGCTTATTGTCTTTCTAGAATATATAATATTAACAAGCGTGCGTCCAACAGTGAAAATACACCATTCCAAAAATACCTCAAAACAATTGAAACAAATATTATTGACAATCCCAAGGTCACGGATGTTCAAGTCAATGCAGATAAAATCAGTGATTCCCATATTATTTATTGAACAGGCAAAGATCTTTTAGAAGATGATCTAAATTATCATGACAAACAAACCCTATTGGCAAAGAATCCTCATCTCTACGACACTCTTCATCAAAAAGCTGGTAATTCTTATCACTTTTATTTAGTTGTCAAGTCAACTAAATTTCATAAACCGGAATATGAAGATTTATTTTATGCTTTTGAAAATTTGTTATCATTTTGTTTAGAAAATGATATTCATAATTTGTCAATTTCCAGTACTCATCTTAAAGGCCAGCATGTTAAAATTGATGTTCTCAGAATAATGCTAAAATACATATTTTTTGATACTAATACACAAATTAACATCTGTCCTATATAAAATTCTTAAGTCAATGGGTTATAAACACAGGGAAGTAAATGGTCGCAAAATTCTATGTGAACAAAAACATGTCGTTGTAGCCAAAATTGATTACGTAGGAACTGATGATTGAGAACTAAAGATGAGCTGCTAAATGCGGCATGCGACAATAGTCGTATGTAGAACCCCCATTCATATAAAATATGAATTCCTTCATCAAACATGATAATATGTATGTATTTTTTCCTATCGAGACGCTTCAAGGTACAAACTCCTGATATGAAATCGTTGAAGGACATCGAGTGGAAATATCTCATCGTCCTAACGCCAAAATGTAGTCGTTTCTTTTTCGAAAAAAGAACATTTTGTACTCAAGTATTTTTCTGGTAAGAGACTTCACTAATAGGAGGTTCAACATATTGACTTTTTTATTACATAGGTACAATAAACTTATCATTTGAAGGAACCGATTTTTCAGTTTCAAGTAAAATTCCACGTGTAACATACAAAAACAATTAACGATAGGCATACTTTGAAATTACTTAAGTTTAAAGACTTAATCTTTAAACAGATTCGCAACAATGGTGGAACTAAACACACGAATGCACTTAATGTATGCATGTCTTGCAAAAATTTTTCAAACCTTTACTCATTGACAAAATCCAGAGATAGTTTAGTACCAAAGTGCAATCGTCCACCTTAAATATAAGTCGCACTATTTTAAAACTCTCGTGTGTTTTTTCGTTTCACAATGGTAGTCTGGATTTTCATTACTTGCGTGATTTTCATCATTTTCGTCGTTTGGTAGAAACGATGGATGATATATCACTCCTGGAATATTCCCGGACCATTCGTAGTACCCCTATTAGGAAGTCCGTTCGTATTATTACTAACAAAAGATAGTGCGTAATAAAATTCCGTGTTCTTTTTCACTTTGTGAAATATAACTGGAAAATGATTTTTCAGATTGTTTCGAACTGGGTTATAAGTATCTGTATTGCTACAAACCTGTTGCAAAAACTTGGGCAGGCTCGCAATTGTACATAGCGACCGCGAGACCAGCAGACGTAGAAAAAATATTGACCAATTTTCTAAACAAATCACCTTTCCTAGAGAATTTTAACGATGCAATGAAAGACACTCTGCTGACCACAAAAGGTAGTAATTTTTTTTAATACGTAGTGGTAAATTATGAAATTCGCAGTCAGCGCCTGGAAAGAACAACGAAAAATGATGAATCCCTGTTTTAATTTGAAGATTATAAATTCGTTTCATGATACATTTGCCAAATATTCAAGGAAAATGGTGAATTTCTTGGATGCTACAGAAGGCAGCGAACAAACTAATCTCCTTTCAGTGATATGGGAAAGCACATATGATTCCGCCATAGGTAAAAAATATATGTGTGTATGTTTATTATGCACATTTGAATTATTTTTGTATCACTGTAATTGTTCTCGACAATTATTTTAACAGAAAACTTAACGAATGTGAGACCACATATGATCAAAGGAAGATACGACGCCATTAAAGCTCTCGAGAAGTAAGTCTCTGTTTCTGGTGAACAGTTTCCATAAATTTTGATTTCAGAATCAAAGAGATACTTGTGTATAGATTCTATAAACCTTGGCTTCTCATAGGTTTTATATGGAAATTATCCAACTTGTATAAGGAGCATCAAGCGGCTTGTCAAACTTTTCGCTCAGTTGTCGAAACCGTACGTCTAATAGAAATCTCGCAAAAATAAAAATTCTATATTTGTCTTTGCAGATAGTAGCAGAAGAATACCAATTAAGCTATACGGAAAAGACAAATGGTATGCGTTTAAACTGATAAACTCTATCTCTCTAACTTTTTTTTTAAAAAATAATACTTTTTCAGACGACGATATGCGAAGTAAACGTTTTCTACCGCACTTGATTAAATCAAAACAAAACAAACAGATCACCGATGGACAAATTCTGGAAGAAATGGGTTTAATGACATTCGTAGCAAGTGAAACGACAGCGGTCACAATCACTACGATTTTAGTGGTTTTAGGGATTTATCCAGACATTCAGGTAAATTCCCCAAAAATAATAATACCACGATAAATTTGTCCTTTCAGGAAAAAGTTTACCAGGAACTCGTCTCTATTCTGCCAACCACTAACAATGACCCAACTCTGGAGGAGATCAATCGTCTGGAATATCTCGATCGCGTGACAAAAGGAAGTATGCGATTGATTCCAGCCGTTCCAGCACTATTCCGATACATTAATGAAGACATTAAATGCGGTAATTAAGGTTAAAATGTGGATCCAAGAAATCCATTTTTTTGGTTCCAGATCCTTACGTTTTTCCCGCCGGGTCTAACGTCGTCGTTCCGACAGTGCTTCTACACAGAGATCCGGATGTGTGGCCTGACCCGGAAAAATTTGATCCGGATCGGTTTCTCCCCGACGAAGTTGCAAAAAGACATCGTTGCTCCTACATTCCTTTCAGTTTTGGTACCAGAAACTGTATAGGTCTGTATTTGTCCGTAATGGTGTTTTTTCTAATCTTTGTCTTAGGTCTAAAATATGGAATGATGTCAGTGAAATTAATGGTCGCCATGATTGTGAGAAGCTTGAAAGTACGGGCTATTGGTGCCAAATCGTGGAAGGACATCCAGTGCGAGATGTTGGTCATACTGAAGCCAAAAAATGCTCGTTTAGTTTTTGAAAAAAGATTTTGATTGTTTTTGTTTCTTTCGAGGTGGTGGGTTTATATAATTAGTGGATTCGTGGTCATCTTTTTATTCTAATAAAAATATGTAGTTTGTAAAAATGATTTATTTAACACAGTATGGAAAAATTACTTTCCCAAGATATCTGGAAAAACCTCCTCCAATTAACTCCTAAAAGCTTTCCGGATTGTTCCATTGTTGTTACTTTCTAGGTTACGATATAGGTCATTTTTGAAATTATGTTGCAACGTTGTCACGTTATTCTGTTGAATTTTTTTCCAATGGAAATGTACACTTTTACGAAAAAAAAAAATTTTTTTTTTCATTTTTGGGGTGTAGTGCTCTGGCAGGATCGCCATGTAGTGCGCTCTTGGGGTAGGCAGCTTAGCCAGTTTACGCACTATTGAAACTCACTATTTAACTACTACATATCTTTATTATTCTTCTCTCTTACACCGCTTGGTTGCCTACTCACTTACTGCTTACTTAATAACTTCTTACTCCCTACTTAATACATTTCTTATTAGTCTTATTACATACATTATTGCTTACATCTACATTAATCCCCACTCTAATCATTCACTCTCTCTTTCACACATTACTTGTTGATTACTCCACTACACCTTCCGGGATTTCTTAAAAAAAATTGTTTGTAAATATGTTTTTATATGTTCGTATTACATGTAATTTTACTACTAGGTTAATAGTTACAAGATTCTGTTTCAACACATGTTATTTGCATCAGCAAGAAATAATACACTCGTAAACAATTATGTAGGTTAAGATATCATTGTACGTTCCAATTTAAGCTTTTTGTTTATTTCTGATTCGTTAGTTATTACAAGTTCTACACTGTCTGCTGGCTTTTTAAGAATCTCTACAACACTCGGATGGCCAGTCCTTATATTATCTAAATTCTCTTCCGCCTTGTTTGATTGTAGTTCATTTTGCATCGTTTTCTGTTTTGCTCTAGTCATAACATTAAGTATTTTTTCATTCATGCTTTTTAACTCATCTGATGTAATATTGTTAATAAAAAGACGTGACAACGCATCTGCAGCTACATTATCACATCCTTTTACATACTCTACTGTAAAATCATATTCCTCTAAACACAACCTAAATTTTGTGAGTCTACTTGATGGATTTGTCATATTGAATAAATAAATTAATGGTCGGTGATCTGTTAAAATTTTGAAATGTTTACCATATAAGTAAGGTCGGAAATGTTTTACTGCCCATACAATGGCGAGTAATTCTTTTTCAATAGTAGAATATCGTACTTCAGCTTTATTTAAACTTCTTCTTGCATAAGCAACTGGTTTTCTATTTTTATTCGATAACACTGCTCCTACTGCAAACCCACTTGCATCCGTTTGAACAATAAATTCATTATTTTCAGAAAAATTTGGATATTGAAGCACGGGTGGTTGTATTAACGATTCTTTCAAAGTTCGAAATGATTCTTCACATTCTTTTGTCGAGTTAAAGTTAACATTTTTCCTACTTAAAATATTTAACGGTATGGCAATTCCAGCAAAGTTTGGTATATATTTCCTATAGTAATTTGCGAAAGCTACTAATCTTTTGACTTCATCGGAATTTTTCGGAACGGGTTACTCTTTTAGCACTTGAATTTTGTTTGGATCGGTTAAAATACCTTCAGAAGTTATGATGTGTCCCAAATATAATATTTCTTTCTTTAAAAATTCGCATTTGTTAGTTGAGCTTTAAATTTACTTTTCGGAGCCTCTCAAAAACTTTAATTAAATTAGAATTGTGATCGTTCAAATTTCTTCCAAAAACTATTAAATCGTCTAAATATACGAAACAACTTTCATAATTTGGGGCTGGCATTGCAACTGTCATTGTACGTGAAAACGAACTAGGACTTGTTTTTAAGCCCATTGGAAGCCTCTTCATCTGAAATTGTCCTTGACTCGTTGTAAATGCTGTGAAGGGTCTACTATCCTTATCTAGTTTTACTCGATAATATCCTTGACTAAGATCTAAATGAGAAAAATATACTGCACCTGAAAGTGAGTCAAAAATATCTGTTATGTTGGGAAGTGGAAATTTATCATCCTGAATTTTCTGATTTAAAGGACGATAGGCGACCACTAATCTCCATTTCTTTTGATTACTTACGCCTACCTTTTTAGGTACTAGGAGAATAGGTGATGACCATTCGCTTTTCGTAGGTTCAATAATATTATTATCACACATTTGACGTATCTACGTGTCAACTTCGGTTTTTTGCGCATGTGGTATTCTATAAGGCTTAACATAAACTGGTTTTATATTTTCTTTCAAAGTTATTGATTGTTCATAAATATTTGTTGTTGACAATTTATCATTTGGTAAATGGAAAATATCTGCATATTTAGCACAAATGTTCATGATAGAATCTCGCTCTTCTTTGTTTAATTTATCAGCATTGATAGTATCTAAAACTTCTTTAACTCTATCGACTGAATTTTGTGTTAAATCAAATTTGCAATACTTATAATCACTTAATTTGTGAGTTTCAGGAATCCATGTTTTTAATCGAATTTCCTCTTCGTTAGTATTTAAAATTTTTACCGGTATTTCTGAGTTTCGAGGTCTCGGTACAACTCCTGCTAAAATCACAATCTTCATTAGTTGTTATTGGTAAATACTGAATTGTTTCGCAGCGTGGTGGAATTACTAAAATATTGTGATTCTGGTCTGATTCCAAAGGTACTGTTACTGTGCTGTGGCAATTTGGCAATGTCATTGTATTTTCCGCGTAATTAATATTTCCTTTGTGTTTTTTAATAAAATTTCTACCAAGAATTCCATCATTTACACAATTCAAAACCCGTCACCAATTTTGAATTTCAAAAATACCCCATTAATTAGATACGATTTGATTAAATGATGAATGCACCTTCAGTAATTAATCATTTTATACCTAAAATTTTTGTTTTTGTGAAGGTTTGCTTGTCATAGTTTTAAGGTATGAAATTGAAGACTTACCATTGAAAATGGCAAATTTTAACTCATAGGGTTCATCATAAAAATATAATTTCTCTAAGTTAAATTTGATGGTTTTTCGAAGCTGTATTTTATCGACTGTAATTTAGGGGCGAGGGAAGTTCCCTGGTTATAACTTTCTACCATTTTTTTTTAATTTCGTTCAAAGTACCAACTGCCGTATTTTAAGTCGATATTCCTATCCTTTTAATAATAATCCGATTTTATGGTCTTAGAAAAAACCAAAAATCTCTTGTTCTTGTGTGATGTGTGCAAAACCAGCTGTGAAATTGTAGGAAAGTCTCACTTAGGTAATTTATCTACGAATCTTAAATCTATTGATGACAAAGTGGCAGAAGTCAATACAGCGTATGAAAAACAGTTCAGTGATATGCAAGCCCATTTTGAAGATTTTAAAAGGGAACTAACATCATCCTTCCAGTCACAGTTTAATTAGTTAAAAGTTTCACTTGCGGAAAAATCCATAAAAAACTATGAGACCGTTACTTATGCCAGTGTTGCTAAAGATCAGTTGCAAAGTGTAGCCATTTATGATCTTTATATAGTAAAGTAGGCTTTGATATTTTTTTTAAGTTAGATAAACTGATTTGATGATTTAATTTTTTGTCTGTCAGTTTAGTCTGATTGACATTTGCTTTGAGCTGGATAGCCACTTTTCTACTTCATTTATTAGATCAGAATTTTTAGACGCAATTTTTTAATCGAGCAAACAAATGTTTTAATTTTGTCAGCATAGATAATTTGTGACAGATTCACAGATCATTGCGACATTATTTAAAAAGAAAATGCTTAAAATAGTTTTACTGCTACAAAAAGATGTTTTTTGCAGTTTCGAAAAGACTTGTGTAACATTACCTCTATCCATTTCAAGTGCTGGTTCAGCAAAACTTTTAATTAATACAGGTTCGGATATCAGTCTTCTAAAAATAGATCATGTTGACGATGATGCCTTAGTTTGCACTGATAATAAAATTGCGTTAAAAGGAATAATTCCAAAGGTGATTTCTTCTATTGGCGTTTCGATAGGTAAAATTCAAATTCAGAACACATTAATTCAGCATCCATTTCATTTGGTACGTGACGATTTTCCCATTTCAGTTCACGGAATTATAGGTAGAGATTTTTTCCTTCAATATGGTGCTATTGTAGACTATAAACAAAATAACCTCTTTTTTGAAGTAGGTCCAGCTAAAACACAACTCTCCTTATCATGTCCCAATGAAGTTGCTATTCCCGTGCGTTCGGAGTGCACTGTTAATTTTCCTGTTACTTTTAATGTTTCAATGCTATGTCTACAGAAAGAGATCAAACCAGGTCTTTTGGTAAGAAATACCATAGTTCAACCTCAAAATGGAATTTGCAAAATAAGCGTTATAAATTCATCCGAAAATTCTATGACTTTAGCGCCGAATGACGTCTCTTTTGAGAAATTGGAAAATTATCACGTCATCAGTTTTGTTAACATTAACAGTGCAAATAGGTTAAAACTACTTCACAATGAATTAGACACCGAGCACATGAATCAGGAAGAAAAACATTCTATTCTGCAAATTTGTCGTGAATTTAACGATTTTTTTTTAAGGTGATCAGTTAACTCATACCGAAGTGGAAAAACAAATTACGAAAATGTTAAATGACGACATAATAGGGCACAGTAAATCTCCATATAACTCTCCAATTTTGTTAGTCCCTAAAAAACCTGATCAGAATGGTAATAAACGATGGCGATTAGTAGTTGATTTTCGAAAATTAAATGACGTCACCGAGTTTGATGCTTATCCGTTACCAAACATTACGGAAATCTTAGATCAGCTAGGCAACGCCAAATATTTTTCAGTTATAGGTTTGGCGCAAGGATTTTATCAAATTAAAATTTCAGAGGAAAGTAGACCTCTGACAGCATTCTCTTTTCAAGTTAAAAAGGCTACCGATGGGGCTTAAGGGTTCCCCTACAACGTTCCAAAGGTTAATGAATAATGTTCTAGTTGGGC